TCTTCGAGGTTTTCTATCTCTATTGGCACCTATTGAGCTCGGGGTTTGGCCTGTCACCAAGCTGAAAGTCGAGAAAAAAAAAATCAAGATGAGATATGCATGGGTAAAAAAGAAGATGTCCTCCTTTTTATCATATATATATTTTTTACGTGTATGTTCCTGTCGTCACGAGCCCTAATTCGTTTTTCATCGATTTCTCATGAATGTCGAGTGTGTATAAAGTTGTATGGGTGAAGGGGGGGGCAGATAGGAGGGTGGAGGTGGGGGTGGCTAAGTGCACGCTACAAAGAGCACCACCCACACCACCCCAACCCACCCCCAAAGACGAACGAGCTTTCCAGTCGTTTCCAACTTCCATGGCAGGTGTCGTTATACGGCACATCGTAAAACTACCGCTACCTCTCTCACTCTTATCGTCATACCCCACTCAGAGGTGAAATCATAAATTATGAACATGATCGGTGAAGATTTTTTGGCATCGCGACAACTGCAATCATTATTAGTCACGATAAAATCGTAAAAATGGTACATAGAAGTTTATTTTTTTCGTTTTGTTTGTTTTATTTGTTTCGTTTATCCAATTGTTATTAGAGTGTGGAAGGGAGAATTGATTAAAATAAAGTTGAAAGATGTGTGTGAATCGTGTCTGACTAGTCGTATGGCAAATCTACTTATTTTACTTATTCTCACATAAAATAATTGTGAAGCATTCTGTTGTGCTTGATAACTCAATTTATCACCGGAGATACGGGAGGGAAAAAAAAATTGACACGATTCACCTCAGAAATGTATATAAACCACGAGACAACCTAATTTCCCCTCTCGAAGCGTTCGTATCCCTTAATCCCGTCGAGTTGTCACGTAGTCAGACTCGAGAGGGTGACTCCCGCCAAGGATGTTGAATATTTAGAAGCCAGACCGAACGTGTTAACAAATATAAAAGTCACCCGGGATGAGGGAGAATGTGCGAAAACATTGAAAAAATAAACTTTCATAATTCTTCACAAGTATACTTCATCAAACTTTTTATACTTTCGAATTCAAAAAAAAAAAATCATCCAAATACATTTTGACTTGAATATTTTCTAGACTTGAATCGAGTATAAAACTCAATTGACTCTATTTTTTCTATTTTTATTTTCAAAATAATTTGTTTGAATCATGGAAATGGCGGAAAAATTGGATAGATTGGGTTCTGGGCTTTCTACTTGAATCAAGTACGGGTAAAAATTTTTTTTTCTTTTTTCGTCGACTGCATGTTCTCCCACTGCAATCTGTCTTTGAACTTTTGGGTGAATGACGGCATCTTCTCTCGGTGGGAATACTCGTTCATTTAGGTAACAAACTATATCTCACTCTCTTCTTCTTCACTCGACTCCACTTCTCGTGTCTCGGAGGTATAATCCGTCTGAATTACAGTCGTCAGACTTCACCCTATTTCCAACCCCCCACCTTCTCACCCTAGTACCATCCCCTTTTACGAGTCCTTACCCGTTCATCGAGAGATCGAGCACCTGTTAAGGCTTCCTTCCAGGATGCTGAAGACGTATTCACATTTTTTTTTCCTCCCTGCTTTTGTGTTGAAAGTATGTCACAACATCTATTAATTTGCCGTCGGATTGAATTAACGGAAAACTACTGTGAATATTTAAAGTCTATTTAAATTATTCCAAGAAATTCACTGTTTATTTAATCGGAAAAAATTCAATAGAATTTTGTATGATGAATGGAATAATGAATTCTGAATTGAAAAATTAATTTATTATCAACAATAAGTAGATAAATAAATAAAAAATCCAATCACCCACTTGTTTGGGTAATGGAATTGGGGTATAGGGTGAGTTGGAAAATTTTTTCCAATAAAATAAATGAGTGACTGGCAACCCCGAAAGGATTTTCTAATTTAACCATTTCTCGTTATTTATCATAGCGTTTATCTCTTTGAATAACCAGTGGAAAACGGTTTTTCATTTAAACTGAGTGAAAATAAATGAGTAAAGTGGAAGGATTCAACCTAAACCGTTTTTACTCTCCTATTAAAAAGAAACGAAGAAAATTTTATTCTCAGTTTTCTCTCTCGTCATTAAAATCCCCAGGGGCCATGGCATATTTATTCCCCACAGAAGCGTACACTTCTGGTTTACCTCTTCTCTTCCTATTTCTATCTGAAAACCCCTCACCATTCCTCCCTTACTTACCTCCTCATCAAGCCCGTGTCTCACTCTATCTGAGGTTTTCCTAGTGGTACATCAACTCGGTAAAATCACTTCTACCAGTTTATTTATTAACTGGCGCCTCTCACATTAAGCTCCCTACGAAGATGAGGGACTAACCAAAATAAGCTTGATTAAGCCACTGCAATAACCCTCCAACTCCTTTGCCACTCGCTTGTTTATTATTAATTTTGGTAATTTACTAAAAAATTTGACTTTTCAATGGTGAAACTCACCTGAACCATGATTGAAATGGCAACGAGCCCCTGGCTCTTGTGCTGCGCCTCGCTCATATTATGATACAACTCAGCATTAAATCCATAAACCTGGATCTGAAATGCAAGAGGAAAAAATAAATAAATAAATAGATGTTTTTGTCGGGAGAAGTATCTCGTACACAATAGAGCATTCTGAGAAATATACCGAAACGTATCTTTATATTCAAGTGGAAGTGGAGGGGACGATAAACCGAAAACACAATAAATTATCTGGCACTTTGTGGGCACCCGTGGAGTATGCTCAGGGTAGGAGAGGTTGGAGGGTTTAAGATCCCACTGGGAACGTTCTCCAAAGGATAAGAGGGGGTTGAGAAGAAAAGGGAGGGAGAGTGGGATGAAAATACCAGGGATGCGACGAGGCATGCTTCAAAGACTCGAGAAGGAGCCAAGGGTTGGGAGAGGAAGAGCGTAAATCTACTGCATCTGATCAAAGTATGACGAGTACTACTGAAATAGGTGGAGGGAAGGGGCAATCCCCTTTTTCATCTTTTATTGCTCCTATTTCCGTACGGTACAATTTCCCCTTGAGAATTGAAATTTTACTCAACATAATAGAATTATATTTGATGACTCATCGTCTCCAAAAGATCATTTCACCAGGTTATCGAAAAAAATCTCATTTCTCTCCGTCATTAATTACTCGGAATAACTTTCTACTGGCTACTTGACTTTTGCCGTTAAATTTTGATATATCCATTGCATTATCTATCACAAAGCCCTCTTTCATTTCATCTCATCTCTTTTTACTCCCCCAACTCGCCTACTTTCACCCATCGTCAGTTCTCCTTTCTTCATTCGTACATTTTTTTTTTATTTTCTCTCTTCCGGTGAAAAGACGGGTGGGGGATAAAATTTTTCGAAGGGAAAATATACGGGCGTGTTATCAGGACAACGCCCTTTCCCTCTTTTCACTCCTTTCTCTCTATGTGCCTCCCTGTCTGAATGTCTGATCAAAGGGAGAACACTATCCCAGAGATATCTGGAGGAATTTCTTATCCGCTACCAGTCAACGCCACTTTTTTTTCTTTCATTTTAGCTTTTTTATCACCTCTTTCGCACTTTTTCGCCTTGGAAAATATTCCGATTATTGTAGCTCCCGGCCTTCTTCTCCTTTGGATATTCCCGGAACCTTAATCATTATTGATAAAAACATCTCCATTGACTGTCAATTCGTTTTTTTTTATCTCCGTGCCACCTATATCGTGGGATTTTTTTATCATCGTCATGATGAGGAAAAAAAAAACTTCTTCGAGGTTTTCTATCTCTATTGGCACCTATTTCTACCCCACAGCACTTTGCCGTCATCAGAGCGTAATCATTCTGCGGTGGGAGATGTTGAGAGATAAAAGCAGAGGCTTTTTCACGAGATGAAGAGATTCGTGGAATTTTTTTTCCACTTGGAAATTCAATGAGTGGCCCATGGATGAACTTTCTTGGGCTGATTTTTTCCCTCAATTTTTGGGCCAGACCATTTTATCTCTGTCGATTGATTTAAAATAATTTTTCTTTTGACTTTACAGTGAAAGCATAAGGCTTTGACATAAATAATCATCTGGAGATAACCGATGAAATTATAAAGGAAAATCATTTGGGATAGTTTAGGAGGGGGAATTGTAAATTTAATGTCATCCACTGAGTTGCAAATTTCAGCTATAATTTAGCATTTGCGACAGAACGATGGTTTTGGTGAGATAGAAATTGCGAGAAGATGAGGGGAAGGAGGGGGATGAAGAGGGTGATGAAGGGGGGAATGAGGGTTTCACAGTAAATCCGAGAATAGCAAAGATACATATAGACACGGAGAGTTGAGGTTTAAGTTTGGGTTTAAGTTTCACAGTATTTACATTATTCCGTATTCGCAGGGCCAACCCTCAAACCATAGCAAAATTTTCCAAACACCAACTTTGTGTATTATTTTATATTTACAGATATACACCCACTTGGGACAGTGATTCTACTTACTTCTCCTGAAGCAAGTAGAGGGAATGAAGTTTGAGATATCGGAGAAAATTCATTTTTAATGAGGTCATGGAGTTGGTTATATTTTCAATTCACTTCTCGACAATTGAATTTAAACTCAATACATTTCACCATTGGAAGGAAAAAATAAGTACCCGGGGTATTGAGTGGAGTAATGAGGTGAATTCATCGGTAAATACGTGGAGATATCGGAAAATTTTATTCTGGGATTTATTCTCGATATATCGTTCAATTCTATCGTATTTTAAATTAAAATCGGGGAAATTATGAAAGTTCAGCAGTGGTTTTTTTGGGGGGGCAGGGGCGGGGGGAGTAATACGTGGAGTAACTTTAGTTGTTGGGGAGAGGGACGGACAATTGAAAAAAAATAAAATTTTTTCTACGAATCAAGCGTTGATTTCGCACAGTTTCTCACCTACGAATTGGGGTAACAATCAGCCCTAGGCATAACGAAAAAATGAAATTCAAACAGACGAAATTGAAATCTCCGTGGAATCGAAAATTGGTAGAATGTAATAGGAATTGAGAGCAGAGAGGCTGGGGTAATTGACTCAGGTTAATCAAAATCGGTATTATGCTCTTTGGTGTGGAGTAATATTTGAGGTATATGTATGTAGCCACTGTTCTAGATATTATATATACATTGGTTAAAGGATATAGGGTGGTAAAAGGGGGTTAGAGACACACAAGTGGGTATATACACTTGAGCTGGTTCTCAGGGCGCGTATTTGAGGGACCGTTGGTGCTTTGATGCCAGAGACCGAATGCCGAGAACCACCACAGGGTGATGGAGTACTCACCACTGACCATTTCTGTGACCATCCACTATACGCCAGATAGATAAGTCTCAGGAGGGCATAAAAAAATCCGTGCGAAAGAGAATTGATGAGTAAAATCACGACGATTACACCCCTTGCCATTTTCACTTTTCCCCTTTTCTTATCGAGAGGTGATTACCAGGCTCCATTGATAATCATGAGGGTGGCAGTCAATAGCTGGATATATCCCTTCAGCTCTTGAATTACTCGATTGAAATGTACTCTAAATGTGCGAATGTAAAATCGGTACTTTGAGACGAGATAATTTTTAGTATGCTAATTTATTTTGCGAAAATTCAGGTTTGTGGTTTGGGAAATAAAATAGTTTGAGGTCTTGGCTAGTGGAATGGACTATCGCCCCAGATCCATAAATTTTCCAAAATCGGAAATAGTGGTGGGTGTATTGAGGATTTGGAATGAAATCAGGTTATTCTCGTTATGGGACTGGGGTGCACTGGCAGCATTTTAGATGGTACAATACGTGATAGGAGAGAATGGTACGCATGCAGTTGCGTCCCAGGCGTAGGGCCTAGCGTTAATATAGTTGAAGGGGGATTGGTTGGGTGGAGGTTAGGGTAGGAAGACAGGTGGGATTGCGCTCGTATATCTATCACGGTAGAATAGTGCATTGTGCCAGAAATCGTGATGGCATGCCCATATGCCACGGGATGCAGTCATGGACCACTCCTGACGTACCAATTATAGATGACGTATACCAATATACCTATCCAATGCCTCAAGACACTGGAGAAAGCCCCATCAGCTGCATTCCCATAACAAATCCCCCCTCCAAAAAAAAAAAACATTAATGATTCTCTCAGGTTATTGACGTTCCGGGAGTAATAATTAAAATTCCATTCCATTCCGTGTTTCAAGACACTAATTGAGCCCCTCATGTATCAATGCGCAATATCAATTTAGATAAACCCCCAAAAATTATCTGAAGTTGAAGGGTTCTTTCTTTCTTTTATTTTTCACAAGTCTCCCCTGAATTTCTCGGATATTCGAATAATTCCTGTGATCATAATCCAATTTCAAGAATCACACGCGAATGAATAATTCACTAACCCCTTTTTGAAAATTCTATTTATTCAAATTTCATTTCCGCGGCCGTTTAAAATGTTAATTCCCTCTCTCGCTCTATCCCGCTAGCGCTAATCAATGTTTAATTTGTCAAGTGCTACTTAATGCGGTCAACTCGACGTGACTAGTGTCATTAATTTCAATTAATTACAGTCGTTACCGCGGCCACAGGGTCACGCCGCTGATATTTTCCACACCCCCTTGATATTCTCCTGTTGCGTGACATCATTTTTTTAAACTAGCCGGAAAAAAGAAAAAAATGATAAAATCACTCTACACACACTGTAGTGATGTGGAACCCTTTAAAATCCCTTCTTAATGCGATGATCCTCATCACACCAATCTCATCCCTGAAATTAAGCCTTCATCTCCCGGATTGTACTTTTATGAAGGGTTTAGCGAAAAAAATAAAGTCGAATGGAGGAGGGGAAAAAAAGGGAAGTAGATAAAACGATGACGAAAAATTTTCATCAAGCCCCGGCAAACGCAAATTTGCTTAATTATTCTCGGCTGACGTGAGCGCCATAGAGTGCCTCCCGGTTAGAGCGTTGGGAAAAGCCTCGGTTGGGAGGCACGATGCCTCGTAATTGTAGTGGGTCGTTTATAGTTGAACGACCCTCCTAGCTGTGCGATTGTCTGTCATGCCTACGAGTGCCCTCTTATAGCCCTTGGAGGGATGCAGCACGTTGCATGCTCGGAAAAAAAAAATTATATCAAAATGAATTGGAAAAATTGGGAGCAATTCCATTTGGTTTCATTCAATTTTCCGGCCTTTTAGCACAAATTTTCCATGGGACCAAAAAAAAAAAAACATGGTCGCCCTACCCTTTAAATTGATCAATTCATCGATGAAAGTCCAGTTGTTTTTTTTTCAATTTCAAAAAAGAGGATTGCGAATTTTGCGGGGCATAATGAAGATGAAACATTACCATAAATTTTCATTGGCTATGGTCAGCCCAATGCCATACATTATCAATGACACATCCTCCATCACCGGCGTAACCACCAAAAATCATTGAAATACTCTCCACCCCCTCAAGTTTGATTGTGATTATATTCCAGTGATTTCTCAATTTGTCATCCAATTGGTACCAGGTGAGGAGGTTTATTTGTCCAGCAGCTCTCAACAGTGTCATAGGACTGTAGAAGGGTAGGGGTGTAGTCCACTAATGGTCAAACAACGCTTGGTGATACGAGTGGAATCATTATGATGTACGTAACAGGGTGAGTAGACAGAAGTGGGCATCAAATTGACAGGAGGGCATAATTGGTCGCAATTTGCGTACATCTGTACCAAGGACACAATCTCCACCCTCGGCCACTTGACGATCTAGCTGTCCCCTTTGATCGCCTTAATTCGATGGTATTTGGATCAAGATCTTGTCCAATGGTGCACTCTATGCTGATTGATTTTTCCATCTTTTTTTTTGATTCGGGTAAATCTTCAGTTGCTCATTGAAATGATCTGTCGAAGCTATTTCGCAATTTTTTTCATCAGCACATTGCACAAACCATTTGTCTTGGAGAATTGATGTGAAAATCAGTTTCAGTGGCATCTGCATTTGCAGTAGTCTTGTTATGTTGGTCACAACAGGGAATTCAGGATCAGACGCTGGTGGTTACTCGATAGCAAATAGTTCGGGTGAATAGTTTTGCGAATGGCGAGACCGTTAATCGATTCTCGGTGCATCGAATATACTTTGGGGGTTGTTGCATTGTCTGGATTATTTGTGAGACAATTTGGCGAATTTACCGAATTTATAGAGTTCCTTCATAGTTTATTCAACTATTTGTAAATGACAGAAATGCTGGGATTTATCGGCACGTGATAAGGAATTTTTTCTCGATATAGATAACAACACAAAAAAAAAATAATAAACCGCTAATTTTATTTTATTTCCATTGCATTTGTAATTACCTCAGCGGGAAAAGGATAATTATTGACACGATGCTCCGAGCCGAGTTTATTATCCATTCCGTAGTGAATATAAATCTCTTCAAACTGGTAATGATACGCCAATGGGCCTCCAGTTATATTAACCCTGACCTTGGATTCTTTATCAGCCTTGAAAACCAGAAATTGTCCAGTATTGTGGAGATGTCCAGCGACCTGCAATCAAAAAAATCAATTTCGATGAATCGCGTAAATACTTGATCGACACTTTGTTTTTTTTTCCCCCAGTGTGAAAAGTAGGGAAAGAAAAATCGTACGGGAAAAAGCCTTTCAGAATTTGCCGAAACTTCCCCTCAACATCTCCCAATACCAAAGTACTTTTTGCCTTTATTTCTCTCTCTCTCTCACCCGCCCAATGTCAGAGTTTGTGTTTTGTTCGAGTCTGGGGTGGGGGCTTTCCCTTACTCCTGACAGACAAAAACTGGCTAACGTGTTCGCCTCGGGGTAAAAGAGAACGTAGAGATGGGGTGGGGGGAGAGGCTTCTACGATAATTGATTAGAGATTTAATTGGACGGAATGGGTGAGTAGGCGGCAGGGGGAGACAGGGGCAAGAGAGTAAAACTGGCTTGGGGGGTTGAAAACGAGAGGGTGACTTGGTAGAGGGAAGTCCATTTTCTTGTACGTCCTGTGAACGTGAATTATGACGTCATCAGTTAGAAATAATGAGGTAACCTCGGGTTGAGGATTGAACCAAACTCCACTACCCCCCCAGCCCCCTACCCACCCTCCAATCTACCACCTATACTTTGCTCTTCTCTTTTCACTTGGGTTAGACACGTCGGCAGAATTTCCTCGCGATAAACTATTACTTCACAATTAATCTCCCCCTTTTTTTTTGGAAATTTTGGGGTTTGGCTTTTGGGAATTTTTTTTTTTTATTTGGGGCACAGGATTGTACTCGCAGTTGGGGTTCTTATTGTACTTCTTATATCGTGGGGTGAATTATGGTGAATGCGTGATTTATGGAGTCAACGAATGCAGTTGGCGAAAGTTTTGGATAGAAGGTGAATAGAAATTTGTGAAAAGGTTTATTGATTCTGGGAAAATCAAAGCATCCGGTGGAATAAATATGACGGGAATAATCACAGAGTTATTCAGTTTTGAGTTACAGTGAGTTATTGGGATTTATTCTGAGTAATTCTTGAGGGAATTAGGAAAATTTCAAAATGAGACGTTAAAAAATAAGAGTTGGTGGAATTTCATTTCAATTACACTGATGTGAAGCTATTGTTCCGTTGTTTTCGAGTGTAATAAGAGAAAACAATTCTGTGAATCGCATTCATCATGGTGTCGAGAAAATGAAATGAGGAAAAGGGATGAAAAGGGAGGAAAAGTGAGGAAAGGGGAGTCTTGAACGCCCACTATATTTTTCTCTTCTACCTCTTCTCGTTTGAATAAACAAATAAAATCTGAGTAAATAAAGGGCTGTTGGATGTGGGAGAGGGGATGAGAGGATGAAGTTTAGTTTTAAGTTTTGGGTGGAGTTGTGGGTGGAGATTTTAAGGTGGAGGTCAGGAAAGCACAGTCAGCAGAATAGAAAAGGTATATGGTTGAGGGTATAGTTGAGGCAAAAGCCAAAGACGCTCCGGTTTGAGTCGGTTCTATTGTTTAATTTAAGTGCCAAAGTTTTAACCCTAGCCTGACCCCTCAACCCACCACTGCCAGATAAATTCTGACCCGAGACGGGACGATTAACCCGCGATGACGTCAGCCCGCGGTCTGCACGGCTGACTGGAGGATTTTCCCATTTTTTCTCTCTCTCCCTCCTTCAATTAAAATTTTTTCTCCTCTTCCTGAGCGGCTAAAAAAATCAATTCGCTGGCAATAGGCAGTTGAAAGTTATAAATAATTTACTACCTCGTCTCGGAACAATTTCAGAACAATTGACGAGTTATCGGTGAAAATTCATCTGGCAATCTAATGCCCTATTAATTATTTTTACAACGCCATTAGTTGAGTAGATAAATCACTCGATTAATTCATCATTGTCGGTTGTTGTAATCTTTTAATTTTTCAATTTTCCACTTGAGATAATTTTATTTTTTAAATAAATTGAGGGGAGGAGAAAGAAAAATAAATGCAAAGGCTTTGTGCGTGCCATACCTCGGTTTTGATAAACGACCGCGTAATTAATGGGTCTCGTCATACCGAATTAACATGTTACAAGCGTGTACAGGAGCCGTATAGTAACGATGAAATTGTGGGGGGGAGGAAAATAACAGAGAGTTGATGATGCGTATGAAAGGGGGTTTTCGGTTAACGCTGATATTCGATAATTAATATTTTATGTTGTGATCCATTAAAAGGGGAAAATTGTTTCTGATTAATGACAGGTAATTGTTCAATTGCAACTACTCGATATTTTTCCCCAGGATTCGAGCCTTTATCGTTCACAGAGAGTTATATTTTTTTTTTACTCAACCTGTAAATCACAAAATTGTCTGCCCCATCCCTCGGGATTGGCCACCCCCTCCCTGAAACCTCGAGGATCAGAAAATAAATACCCTTATCCCAGATTTGTCATCCGCAAAACTTCCATACACTCGTATTTTTGTTTTCTTCTCTCTCCCTTTTTTCCTCCCTCATCCCCTTGCCTCAAGTGATCTTATCAACTTTTCCAAAGGCCAAACTAGAATTAAACTTTTTTTCCCCGGTTTTTTGGTTGAGTTTTTCCCTTAATTCCCGATGGACTCCATCGGTTATCAGATACAGGCCTAACGGAAAACCGAGGAAAACAAAAAGAAAAAAAGAATGGGCAAGAGATATAAGTGGAGGAATTGATATATTACCTTGTGCTTGTCCACCTGAACCGGTCTCAAGTGAGGATCGAATAGTAACTTGTCTGGCTCAATGTTTATGGGACTCTGGCGTCTACCTTTGCTACATAGTGACCATTGTGGATTTATAAGACCCCAGAATGAAGGACCTGAAACCATAAAAGCCACAAGAATAATCATTAACACTTGCAACCGATCAGCCGATAAAAATTCATTATTTATCGGGCTGTTAAAATACTTGACGTGCGATAATTTCCAATTATCAAATAGTGTTGATAAAAAGAAAGGGGATTGTCGGTCGTAACGAACCGTCAATCAACGGTAATGAACCAACTATTTAATCTCGTTATTTTTTTTTTTTTATCATCAACTCGCTAATATCTCTTCATCACCAGCACCATGGTTCAGTGAAAACAACCAAGAGGAAAAGAAACTCATTAAGAATATACTTTCATTCGTACTCTTTTCTCCGCGATGCGATATCGATTCCATTTGACAGGAGAAAAGTTAAATTTCTCAGAGGAGTCGACAGTGGGAGGCGAGAGAGCAAAATGATGAGAATCGGACGTGGGAATTGAGAGGGTGGGAGTGTCGGTGGCCGAGGAAAACTCGGAAAAATAAAAGATAAAAATATATAAAGGAAAAATCCCCCAACACAAGTCCCAGAGGTCCATATACCGAGATCAAAAATTCTTTTTACTCGGAGTAAAAAAGTTTGGAATTACTAAAATTTCAAATTTTTTCCCTCCACCCGTCTCCCCTCATTTTTTATGAATGACGGTGGAAAAAGTTTGTCGACTTTTGCCGTATTTCACACTGCCGTTTATTTTCAACAATTTATATTGATATGCATATCTGAGTGGTAATGGATAAAAAAAAATTGAAGGAAATGTCGTGACAACTCAATTATTAATTTCGAATCATTTTATTATTATATCAAATTTTTATTTTTGTTATTTTATGAAGATTGACAGATCAGAGAATTCATCAACTGGATATTGTTAATGAAAAAATAATTTTTGGATTATTTCTGTCGAAATAATTAATAAAACAAGTTCCATGGCAGTCTCAGTTGAAATTTCTCTCACAGTGTGACAAGTGATGGGTGAATAAATTCTTGAAATTTCCACCTCGTCGTGATTTACCATTGAAATGAGGGGATTTTTACATTTCAATCGAACATTTGAATTGAATACTCATTTGCATGTCAACACAGCGCGAGTAAAATAATATCGGCAGAAGGTCAAAATTAATCAAGCCCTCGGCGTGATTTCAAACCAGTTACCCACCGAAAATTCCGTTAACGCTGAGAGAATGGTCGTAATTAAACGCTCGCATATCATTACGCTCATTGTGAAATCACCTCTTCTCTGATGTTGGATGAGGTGTGTGAGTGGGTCAAAAACACGTATTAATAGAAACTGGTTAGCTCGAGTATACGTAGACACCCAACCAACTCGGTTTATCGCTTTGGTAATTTTTAATTACATTTCGCGTGCACACATACCGTAATAACTTGCATACATTACAATTGCATTTATCAAACAACGCCACACCTCTTGAGAGTTGCGTCTCATTCGTCCAAGTCATTTCAAGGCATCAAAAAATGCATTATCATCAATTTAACAATTTCCTAATTCCCTAATAATAAAAAAAAAGACAAATAAAAGTGCAATGAGTAAAAAAAGGGAGTAAATTAGAAAAACCAATTTTTTTATATAGCAAAAAATAATTTTTTTTTTATAGGGAATGTTTTCTCGCGTGCGTTGAATGGAAAAGTCATCGAAGTATTGACAATTCTTTCTCTACTAATGTTAGTTTCAATCGAGTGTAATGGAGAGGGGTTGGATGAATTGTGATTACTTTGTTATCAGACAGGGGTGGGAAGGAGGGATGGCAAACTAACCATTAAGCACCATATCTGACAGGTATTGCCTGACTCGTGAGCGTTCGAAGGCGCTAGGGATAACAAGCCTATTATTGAAACTTGTGGAAAGCACTGGGAACAATCATACTGCAATTAGCAAAGTGATCGAGTGTTTCTACACTCCATTACCATCCGGTTAAATAATTATCCGTTATCCAAGTTCATTCTATTTAAAAAAAAAAACACAATAACCAGACAGGCTATCACAATATTAATAAATATTATTAAAAAATGGCAATTTCAATTTAAACTTTTGCCAATTTGATGAATAATAAGATTGAGAGTTATTCTCCAAGTCTAATTTGATTTTTCGTGAAAGTTAAAATTTGGGGAAGAAAAAAGGTATAGGGAGGAGAGATGAGTGGATGTCATGAATATTATATAAAATATCAATAAAAAAAAAATGAGTAGGCAAGTCCAATTAAGATGTTTTTTCCGGAACGGATATGGGTTTTGCCCAGACGTCTGTTGGTATGTGGATGGCACAAGTATATATATAGAGTGGAAAACCATGGCTGTACCTCGGCCTACTACCGTCCTGAATTCATATGCATACATGAATACATTTCACTGTTTCTCCAATCAAGCCCGAGCCGTCCCAGTGTCCCCGAGGGTTAGAGGGAAAGAGTAAGGGCTTTTTTAAATTTTTTTTTTTTATTTCAACAACAGAGAGAAGTGGAGGAACTATTGTCCGGTCAAATAACTCTCAATACCCCAGATTTTTTCTACTCTTTTTTTCTCAGGGTTATCGATACGTTCATCAAGATAACTATAGGGTTTCATTGTTTTTCCCGGCTGGAATTTTTCTCTTTGATTATCCGTTACAATGGTTGGATTTTTTCCCTCTCTCTTTCACATCATTTATCGAGAATTTTGCTATTTCCATCCAACACTCATCGCAATCTTGAATGAGTTAAAAATGAAAAAAAAAAATTATGGCAGTGTAATTGGGTCCCACAGGGGAATCATCGGTGTATCGATGAAATTTCCACTCTCAAATACCGATAATCAACATCTCCATCACAATTAATTTTCAACTCATCAATAAAACAAAATGCCTACGTAAAAAATTCAATTGTCCGTAATTTGAAAAATAATAACTCGACAATTACTTTTTTTTTTCACACCAATATTGAATCAACGATTTATTTTAAAAATAGTCTCACTAATTAACCCCTCACCCAAATACTCGTTCAAATATATCTGAATTGGTGGGTGGAGGGGGAGAAGGAGGAGAGGCGTTGAGAGATGAAAAAGGAAAATAAAAATCCACTTCTTCTTTGTCATTTATTTTTTACGGGTGAGAAGATATCGCAATAAACCGATCGTGCGAGTTTCAAGTGCACCAACGGAAAAACTTTTGTCACCGGTACACATTGGCGAGGGGGAAAGGGGGGTTACGAGGAAAGAGAGGGGGGAGGGGTAAAAAAGAGAGATGAGATATATATTTCGTTCGTGGCGTGTCATTAACGAGCACAAACCCCTTCGGCGGGACCCAAACACTTTTTTTTTTATTTTTTTTACTTTCTCCTCCTTTTTTTATTTTACTTTTACCCCACCCCCTCCTCTGGACTCTGTTGTTTTTCATACCTTCCTGCAGCTGACCCGAGTGCGCGCGCCATCAGATCTTTTGTCACAGCTAGATATTTCCTCTCCACCATTCCCTATATTTTTTTTATTATTATTATTACTTTTTTTTCAGCCTCTTCTTTCGATTTGTTCGTCGTTATAACAACGTGCCAGTATAAATTTTTATGAGACGAAAATGGTGTGGAAATTTGAGAAATATTATTTTTCCGTTGGGAAGAAAAAAAAATGGTGAATTCTCCCACGGGTAAAATAGTCCTCATTACATTCAGCAATATGACATTGTCGATATATTTGGATCAACCGATAAATGTGTATTATTGGTGAGGGTTATCGAAATATCTTGGGTGTCTGATGGCACCGTGAATGCCAACATTGGTTTATACTAAACCCATCCCTATCCTCACGATTGCCTATCTCTATCTGACGACGCCTGATTAATTGGACAACGATAATTAATTCGAAGCTTCTCGACAGCCTTAACGACGTCGAGCGACGATCATTGTTCTCGACACTAATCCTCAGCCCGTTTAACGCCTCTTGGGAATCGACCCAACGGTTATATACATTCAATCATTCCCATCGCTCCTCAATAACTCCTCCAAGAGAACTAATTTTCGTGGTTTTTATTTCAATGCAATCCCAGGCAAATCTATGATTAGATCTGCCCCATCATTTAGTAATCGTCAATCTCATTACCAATTCGACGATTCATTCTAAAAAAATCCGAGTTGAGAATAAAAAAATGTGAGAAATTCTCACCCTCATAAAAATTTCCCTACATTTTCCCGATGTTACGTGCAGCCTCATTAATTCATTTATACGATCCGAATCAATACGTCGATTGACACTAGAAGAGAGAATTCATCATCGGTTGATTAAAAAATGGTATGTCTCTCCGCGAATTAATATTTTCACCCCTAAAAAATTCAACAACTGTTCATTTATTGGAAAGTACCATTCAACTGACGCGTGTTTGAAATCCAGTAAATTTTCCATCCTCTTTCACCACTCACCCCGAATCCACTCTATACAGAAGCAATTACCTTAGTTAATTAACGAATTTACAGGGGAAACGTGTAAATCCTCAACACAGTACGCGTGAATCCCAGGGAAAATGAAGCGCACGGCGAGGGGGAGGGGGCGAAGGGGAGGTGGTGGGATGGTGGGGTGGTCATGAAGGGGTTGGGTTATCGTTATCGTAGCCGATAACAAGGTGATCCACCAGCGAGTAACATCGAATTGCATTTCCAAATTCGATTGGACCATTTCCCTCTCCCCACAATTTCAGTATAATTTTTTTTTTTTTAATTCTGTTAATACGACAATATATTGTCGACTGGACAATCGACGAATTCAACCGAGCGAAATGCATTCCAGATGAGCTCTGCATCATTCTGCTAGGCTATGTTTCGGGGAATGGTTGGTGTGGAGAAGAAGCGGGGGGTACAGTAGCCTCATTCATGTACACATATTGCTCAGTAAAGCCCTCGTCATTAACGCGTTACGATTAATTATTTTGAAATCCTTTTCACGAGTAACGCACCACTTTGTCGATAGAACTCGTATCGAATACTATGGGGGGATTATTGTTTGAATTCAAGAGACACAGAATTTTTTTTAATGGGCAGCGGGAGGGGGAGGAGGAAGAGGTTGATTAGTCCGATTAGTTCTAATTGAATTAATTTTTGGAGGAATAATTCCATTAGAAGGCCATCGAAATAGAAAGGTATTGAAGACGAAGATGAAGGGGTATTTATTAATAAAAAAATATACTTCCACCGGAAATTGTGTTTACACGGTAAAATTAATGCATACCCCACCCAAGACTGAGTTTTTTTTTTTTTTAGGAAAAAGCATACTCTATGCATACATGCATGTTCAACACCTGAGGGAACAGAAGAGAGGCGACAGTGGACCACGCCAGGATGTTAAATTACAGCATTTAAATAATTTCATTTAATCTCCCTCTCTTCGTCAATTCCCCTTACCCCTTTATCCACTACATATACCCGGTGTCCTTTAACTGTTCCTCGGGACTGGCATATATACACTGACTCGTTATACAAGAAGCTCTCCGAACCGGATAACCCTCACCATCCGGACTCTGGAATATTTTACAACTAAATTAATGCGACACACAGTGCGCACCCACCACCTACCGAGAGTGAATCCACGTGAAGGAGTGGAGGTACTGGCAGTGCTGATACCCTGTTGCTTAATGGCTTTACGAGTCTGATAGGATCACGTAATTATATTTTACGGTGGATGAGGGAAGGGTTTAAGAGACGAGTGGTATTATGCCTCAAACTGTTGATGAATTACACATCAGCCTGTTTTTTATTTTTAATAATCAACATGTTGATTATTTTTCAACGTGATTATCATCGCGACGTATTGATTAACCCCCAACGGGTTGATGAGCTCGTCATGAATAATCAACATGTTAATTATTCCTTCCCCTTCTCCCTCCGTCTCTCCACCAAGTGTTGACAGTTCTCATGTGGTGATGCTTGAGAAAGAAAATTCTCGATTAAAATAAATGGAAAATAGGATGAATGTGTTCTCCAGGGAAATTTCACGCGAGTAAATATATTTGATACACTCTAAAATGAAAATTCAGTGAAGGTTATTGGTTGTAAAACATAGAGAGAAGGTATGGACCATCTGCCCACGATATGAAACTTCCTCAACCCTAAAAATTCCCCCACCCACCCTCGTCTTTTTTCCCGTCTTTTTTTTTTTGTTTTACAAGGGGTGATGTCGAATCCGGTAATAAGTTTGCCAGTGCCCCCCTCTTTTCTCTCTGTACCGGGTGTTCGTAAAGCGGGCGATAAAAATTCGTACCGAGCCATGAAATTAACTGTGTCGACCTCTGCCCCTGTAGAAAGAAAAAAAAAATAAACGAAGAAAAAAAGTGAAACATAATATTTATATGGGGACTTTTGCATAGAACAAGTTGTTCTTTTTTCGGGGATAAATTTGAGGGAATTTTCAATATGGGAATTTTTTTAACAATCCACCAAAAAATTATTGTATTAAATTGAAGTAATTGGTGGAGTTAATGGGTAAAAGTAGAGTTTATTTTCACCTCAAATAGCAGTGGCGAAACAAATGAGAATTTTTCGAATTTCTGTGATTATCCAATTTGGCCGATTAGACAATGTCTGCTATCACTTCTAGATTTTAATGAGTTTCTTTACACCAGCGGGTAATTACAAGGTGATCCTATCACCGAGCTAAACTCATCAAGTCTCATTAGTGTCGAGACGAAAAGTTGAAAAAGTGAATAGTCGGAAAAATCAGAAAAGCTCATGAAAAAAAAAAGAGTATTACAATCCCAGCAGTCAAATTCACCATGAACTGAGTCCTGAATTTAGTATTTATCTCCAAACCTATACATATCCGTATAATTTACTCACCGGAAATGCCGTCATACGTCCACCACTCCTCCCAGCTCGCTCTCGACTCTGTAAATCATAATGAAATATTTATCCACATGTTTTCATTATTTTTTCGTTTAAACTACCAGCGTTTAAATATTTATGTCATTTTTATGTTTACACGGGAAATATTTATGCACGGGGATTTCTCGTGTTATCTCGGTCCGGGCCGGTGTCTATGCGCATACGCCGAGTTGAGAGAGATAGAAAATTTCTACATCCCCTGGCACGCGCCAACTTTAATCTACACTCTCGTATTTCTGATATTAAAACAATTCCGATTACATTAACAATTGAGTAAAACCCACAAATCCTGATGGTTCCACGATACTCCCGTGTATTTCAATAATCGATGAAAATTGATTATTGATCTGAGTCTCACTTGAGATCGAGAAAAATGTCTTATTCAAATCTCGCGAGAGCCGTAGATACTGACATAGATATTCTTCATGCCAATAACATTGATAGTTGATGATTATTGAATTATAATCTTGAAATAGAGTGAACAGCAGTGAGAAATGCATCGAATATTAAATTTAGGGTCGCCAGCTTGAACAATAAAGTAGATAATTCAATAATTTGGTGATACATGAAGACGCGGAAGGTTTATGTTAGGGTGGATCGAGGGGGTGGGGATCGATGGAGGGTTTGACCCATCCTTGGAATCTCTATGGCTCGGGGACACACGGTGAAGACCGCATCAGTGTGGCCAGACTGTTCACCGAGTACTACATACCGGAACAACGTTCAACGGCTGCCATACAGTCTTCCATATGTGCCACTGTTTGAGAATGGAGTTTCTCAACTGAATTCTCGACTGCATTGCTGAAAGCCTGATTATTTCGTCGTGCATACTCAGAATATCCTTTTTCGTTGCCATTTTCCGGAGGTAAAAATGCCATTTTCAGGCATTCGAATAGACCAAATGGATAGCACATCTCGGAAAAATTTCAGTGGTACTACTACCAAGATTTTCAAACATCATCCATCCATTTGGTATGCTAATTCACACAGATATAACATTGTCAGCGATTGTCAACGCATTCATCAAATGTCTCGCGGCTCTCTGGAAATTCTGTTAATTCCATTCTCCCTCTCAAATTCTTCACGGGAAAATTAATGAAAAATTTCAATCTTTCAGCCTTGAATGTCTGTCATTGATGAGAGTAAAAACGTAATTCGGGAAATGTGTTTGTTTTCACGGAATTCCGAAAATTCGTCGAGTAATAGGAAAACACAAATTGCCCCTAAAGTGGGTCAAACATGCACGTGGCACTCCTCTCTCTCTCCACTATTCCACGAAAAACCTCAATCGTTTCACATTTCCATTCTCCAGTAATACAAACACACGACTATTACCCTCGTTACTTCATTTCACCTTTTCCCCTTCAGTCTCAATTTGCTTTTTCCCCCTTTTTTTAGCTCAAATTACCCGCATACCATTCTCGACGTGGTCAAGTGCACGACCGAAGGCTAAATTACTGTAATCAAGGGGGTCTTGAGACTCTTGCGAATTTCACTCGCCGTGTAATCGTCCCGAGAAATCAAACTTGTCGTTAATTTTATTGTTCTCTCTCATTTTCTACCTTTTTTTTGTCGCTCCCCCGTCGCTATTTTCCCCTCCAAATTTCTCCGAGTAATGGGGGAAAAAGTGATTTCTCCTAGAAACTGTCAGCAGGGAATATTTGTCAATATTTCTTCTCCTTCTGAATAGATGATAAATGAAAATGGAATAATTGTCGGGTGTAATGCCATTGGGAACTATCGAGGGATAATTGAAGAGTTTTGCTCTTGCCTCGAGGGCGCTGCAAAAACCCTCGATTTGATTCCAACTGTTTTTTTTTTCCCACCCTCTTTACTTCTGATGTGAGAAAAGTTTTCTAATTTAACGCAATTACAGACTGTAATGAAGTAGGGTTAGGGATAGGGGTTTGTGAGGGTATGTGGGTCGCAGTAGTAGTGTCGCAGGCGGTGAATATCCGGTCAGCCGCATCGGCCAGTGGAACGTTCGTACCAGTTCCGCAAATTGACATTTGTGGCATAGAGATCATCATTTTTTGAATATCTGTGGTTCTACCCCCTCAATAACTCCATACAATCATGAAAGAAATTATTTCTCCCGAGTATATCCATTTCACACACGTCAATTTACCCATTTTGCTACACAATTTAATTATTTTCCAGAATATTCTAATAATTTTCATATTAAAATAGAAAAATCAATGAATTTATTCCAAGTAAAATTATTGATAAAAATATTGGATTAAAGTTGTTCCACTTGAAGAGTTCATTTGAATTACCTGCCAATTGAGATAACGCACAGAGAAAAATAGTTGTTGCAAATTTCTAATTGAAGTAATTGTATTGTTTCTGCCACGCGGACAAAGAGTAGAAAATAAATGAAAATTTTCAATTACTTCCCCGTAAAATCTCCCCTGAGTGCGGAGGGGGTGGGACTACTCGTGTGTAATGACCCCTTGGCAATTTGCAACCTTACTTTTAAAACCGTCCTCGGGTTCATAGATCTCCAGGAAAACAACGTCCAAGTGGCCTCATAACGAATTCATGTATGCACGACATTATGGGCGGAGAACAAAGGGAAAATCACTGGAAAAAATTTGTAACAGGGAATCACTTAGAAAATGCATATTGATGATGTCAAAATATTGGGTGTTCATTTTTATTAAAAACCGTGACAATACTGGAAATTCAGGTAATTATTCTCCGCGGTTCTCAATCTATTATTTAAATCATGAGCATTTCATATTATTTTTTCTGCAAGAGTGGGAGAATTAAAACTTTCATCGGAAATTTAAATATCCGTCAAAATAACATTTTCTTGAGCTTTAAAAATGACAAAGATTTCAGGAGTTAGTGAAGGTTGTCAGAGGAAATAAAATTGAAGCTTTCATGATGAAAAATTCACATGATATTCCGAGTGCAAGTTATCTTCCACGAGACTTCCATTTTGTGTACAGGAAACCATTGCGATGGATTATTTAATTACTTAATCATAAATTCACGGAATGATTGAATAAGGGTAAATTATGAATTCGTGATATTATAATTTATTCCATCCGGAGAGCTAAATTCAACGAATCATTCATATATTGATTTCTTTCCTCAAATTTAATTAAATAATTGAAAAAAATTCACATCTAACTCCTCCGGTTGTTACTCTCAAATATCGGTGGGAAAATGATGAGTTATTTTAGCAACTGAGAGGCTTTTCTTTTGATTTTGTCGTGAATTTTTTCAACTTTTTATCGCTTCAGTGCTTTTGATTTTTATTTCCAATTGATTTAATCTCACAATTCGATGTATCGGGAGTACAGGTGGGATTAGAGTGAAAGAATAACAAAGATCGTGGAATTTGGACAGCTAAACAACACGTGTGAGAGGACAAAAGCCGTGCAATCACGCTCGAACGAACTGACATTTTCCAGTCGATTGGAAACGACTATCGTTTTAAACAAACGCACGAACTCTCAGCAATGCACAATCGTTGGTAACCAATTTGTGGTTTGCTCTGTGTTATTCCGAGTGTTTTAAATATTTATTCAGCATCCACATTCCCAAATGTCTCCAAGCACAGATTTTTTCCTGAAATTTTCCCACCCACACACATCTGAAAAATTTTATAAAATAATATAGCTATGGTAATTCACTATGGAAACCACCGGATAGGATGGGATTAGGGAATATTTTCAATATAAATTTTACGATAAATTTTTCACTGAGAAAAAAATTGATAGTCCGAACCTCCTCCCTTATTTACATTCACTCGTCTATTTTTCTTTGATTTCTATTCCTCAGTTGCTCATGTGTGCCGCCGAGGGTGGGAAAGGGGAGAACGAGATTTTTTTACCCGCCATTTGTAGATTTTTTTTTTTTTTCGTTGCCGACGAGGGCGAAGAGTGCTCGAGGTTTACCATAGAGGTGCAGTCTCTGGAAAACGCGTTTCGTATCGATTCGCTTTAACGAGAATAACAATTTGCCAAGAGGACTCGTCTCACTCCCCCCCTCCTCCTTTTTTTTTTGCACCCGTACAAATGTAAACTCGACATTGAGTTTCTTTCATTGTGCGATAAAAAAAAAGATTGATTCTTTTGTTGCGACAATTGCAACAAGAAATTTTCTTTTTTCGACGGTTAAACGAGGAAAATCCGTAGTCAAGGTTTGGGAGGATTTAATGGGATGAGCTGGAAAATCACCCCCCTGTGCAGAATTTTCACTTTATTAATCAGTTTTTTATCTCGCTTAATCACGAATTTAGTGGATCCATCCCTTGTAAAATTCGAAATTTATATGACTTTGTAAATGAAATTTCCAGGAATTTTCGCCAGTGCATAGACTCAAAGATTCAATTATCACGATAAAATATTTTTCTTCTCTCTCATTTTGTTGAATTCCGAGGGAGACAGTGTAATACATTCTAACTAATTATGGCATACCGTAATGGGTCCACAAGGCGATGTAAAAGCACGATAATTTCATAATGTTCCTGGGCTGCATTTTGAGAGGAGGGAAAGGGTCTTTCGTATATAGATCTGCGGCCAGTGGTAAACCCGTGGCCGTTTGCTGTCTAATTTTGAGGTCGAGTGCAATGAGGTCGGATGACTATTTTGATACCCGCGTCTCTAAATTATTTTCATAATTTTTTAAACCTATTCATCACTCCGCGCCCGTCTCGCAATTGAATTAATTCACATTACATTAATTAATATTAAGATTAAAATATTTGTATAGCCTATCATAATAAAGTGATTGCCCGATGAATTGAGAATGGGCAAAAATTCGGCTGGCATCGGTATACTTTTGGATTTTTCATTGGAACCGGATGGACAGTGGAATAGAAATGGCCGGTTGTGGATGCCACCCCGAGACGGTTTGAGAAAGTCAAATAAGACGACTCCACAATACGATAGTAGAGGTAGAGGGATGAGACTCTATGCGGGTTGAATCGTAAAAACCAACCACTTGCCCACTGTACATTTCTCGCCTCTCCTTTTCTGCTCGTTGGCCCC